ACGTAACGTCTGGGAATGTACCACGTCCACGGTCCGACTTTGGAAATGATAGTGCATACAATGGACTCTTCCTACCAATATAACCAAGTTGCGAAAACAAGGTCAAACAACTTCACTTATTTTTGCTTCCCAAATGTTGGACTGAACTTTTTTCCTCACTCAGCACTCAAACCGTAACCAAAATCCATTTGTACTCGCAGGGCAGACATGACTCACATGACATGCCAGGACTTTTGCAAATCAGATTTATAGTCAGATTTATTGGTACAACAAACTTGGATTTGGCATCAGAATTGATTACATTACTCGTATGCATAGTGAGTAAATTTGGATATAAACGGAAAATTCTGATTAATATAGGCTGCTTAATATGGTTTCGGAGCTGATAGATTAATTTTCCCACAATTGGGTAAGTAGCCCTGATCAGGCTACTAAGTGGCCAAGTGTGACTACATTTCTAACTAGAGAGGAATCGGAAGTAAAGCTAATGATACCACTGTCAAGCTATTCTGTCAGGAGTGATTCCTGAGTTGCTTTCACTGACGTCCACATCTTTCAGAATACTTTTGATTGAGTGTGGAACTTCCTTTGAATTTATGCAGCCTTAGTTCTAGAGTAGTTTATTTATCTGCACCACAAATGATCCACAAAAGACATTTTTGTGTAGACTTTGCCAGTTTCAGTCTCACGAATATGAATGTAATCGGGAGAAATTTGTCCGTGATAGTCAACCATGTGCAAATAGTCAGCTTCTTATGCACCACAAGCACACACACAATGCTGACATTTAAAAGTCATCCAGACTACAACAAGCAAAGATAGAACAGTGACATCCACTTACCATACATATTTCCACTTTAGAATTCTTGCTGATGTGTATGGATTGAAGTCCATTCATGTCTATGTACACAACCCTTCGTGCAAAAAATAAAAGACGAATAACATAAAAATTAATAAACTCAGTATACTTGATAATGTTGACATGACTGTCTGCCGATGGTTATATTTAATGAGTCAAATGTAGATTCTATGATCGTAGTGATTACCTCAAACCACTACAATTCAAGTTTAGATATTATGCAGTAATAATGACCTCTCTATCTAGGGGATAGAAAGTGGAAGATGCTAGTTGATAAGGGAAAGCATCACAGTCAAAGTATAACTACTTATTTGGGAGGAGATAAATGTAAGGTCAGATACATTGGTGAGGATATAGAGTCACTACGTCAGAGTCATCGGCAGACCGGACCGAAATGTGATTTATTTGACCAGCCTGAGTTGCTCCCAGGCGGGCAAGATTTCCTAGGCACGGATGAGTGGAGAGGCGAATGAGTGTCTGAGACGAAGAGAAGAATCTGGGTAAAATATGGCACACCGACAGGAACAAGGGCAGTGGGAGAGAGGTGACAAGATAATTTGTGTGGCTTCTCTGGCCTGAGTTGGGCAAAGACGTGACCGGGCATCTCTACTCTGTCGTCCCAGGCCAGATAAATCTGCATGTGCGGCATTTCTTGTCTTCTGGCCACGGACATCAAGGCTACGCTATGCTTCTACAGGCAGCTTCAGAGCTGTCATTTCCTCTCACTTTCACAGGCCCTTCTCCACAGATGGTCTGACCTCGAACCCTTTCTTTTTCCTCTGTTATCATAGCCTTTATGTCTAACCCTGTGCTAGTTTTGCTGCCATGTCTAGTTATCAGTTAACTTATATTCTGTTGCCTTTAACAGAGATTTACTCATGTAAGGGTATTGGTTTTTACCAATGTAAAGCCTAATCTACAGAGAACGAGGACTATCATTATTTTAATGTAGTTCAAAAGCAAATTCAGTTATTTCATTAGAAGTTGATTCGGATAATCCCTTCATCCAGACACAATTTTGGGCATAATTTAGCATATAGGTATTTAGGTAAATAGACTTACTGTACTCATTTAGACTATTCGAGAGAAAGAGATTTTTTTGCATTGCCGTCTACGTACGCGTTATATTGGTTGGTTTTGCTGAAAGAGTATCTGCCTCATATAAAGTGAAGGCAGGAGCTGATTCGAGAATAATTTAATGTTGGAAATGCTTAATGGAGATATTTCAGCCTTCCCGATCGACTCCAGAGCCGCATTCAACGACAGTTTATTACTAATATCTGTCAAATCACAAATAGCTAAACGAATAATATGTTCACGATGAAAGTGCTGAAAGTCCTGAGAACTGAGTTTCCCATAGTTAAATTTGTAGAAGGCTTCGTGATGCTAATAAAGGTCACATGGACAAAATTCCAAACGGCCTACGAAAATTCTTTTTCATCAAGGCTAGAATGCAGTTCTGACCTTACCTTGGTCTCATCCGCCCACCAAACGGGTATAGCGAGTTAAATATCGGTGTTAGGGGGCCACAGTGCAGAAGTAACTTCATCATAAGCCAGGCTTTGACCTACTAATATTTAAAGTTTGATTAGTGTTGATATGGCCAAAACGTATTAGCAATTACATTTGACACTACGACTAGTTTCAGAGTAGATGAGTTTCAAAATAATCATTCGATCAGACAGCTTAGGTAACTTTATTATGAAATGTCTGTTAGTTGAATTAAATTATTTGAAATGGGTAGAAAATATCACATGCCATTTGGTTTTAATTTAAAATAGTATTTAAATCAGGGTAATGAGAGTGAAGTGATAGATACAAGTTTGTGTTATTAACACATGTCCATATATAAATGTAAAGTGGGAGGGACAAGGCTTGCCTCGGAAGTCACATGCGAATTGCGACACGGAATATGTAATGGAATAGTGACTTTATGCTTGATTGATTGATGACCCGATTTCGAATCTCTCTTAGTGTGCTAATGGCGCCCGGAATAAGTCGAAGGGGCAACCAGGCCTGGATAACTAAGCATTTGTCGAGAATAGGTTAACTGATATTGAAATGCATGCTTATTTGGAAATCAAGCTAGGATAATTAAAGTTCTTGTAAAAAGGTCTAAGGATATTCTTCATCTGTATTAAAATGACAATTTAAGTGCGATAGTAACATTAATCTATTCAAACTACTTAAGTAGTAACATATAATTATTATATAAATCAAATAATGATTGTCAATCTTGGTTGGCATAATTAATGGTTGAGAGAATTGGTTTGACCTCGTTTTCGCAACTAGGTCATGTTTTAAGGGCGAACTATATGAGCACATCATGTTAGAAGTCTTCTACTATAGTATCCATGATAATTTCTATCGTCAGACCAGAGGCTAGGTACAATTCTAATCTTTTCGCCGACAACGTCAATTAGCCTTTCCATTCATTGAGCTGACTACAACTCGTCAAAGAATAAGTTAACTCCATCATTTGATCAGCTGTCAATTGAAAATGTGTGATATTTCTTATGCTCTGGTACTTACAATTATCTGGTATCATCGTATCACTCCTTCTCAATCACAAGTTCAAGCTTGCTTTGTTTTAGAAGTTGTTTGACCTTGTTTTCACAACTTGGTCATATTAGTAGAAAGACTTAGAGGAACGCACCAAGTCCGGAGTCCATTGTATGCATGATCATTTCCAAAGTCGGACCGTAGACGTGGTACTTTCCCAGACGTTTCGCTGGCATCGTAGTCGACATCGTTAGTGAGTCTCGCCATACTTAGCACCATAGTTCAGCTCGTCGATGAGACAAATGAAGCACATCCTTTGACCAAACGTGTGCTAAACAGTTGTGGTATCTCCCCTTCTGCCCTAGCTATTCACATTTCCTATATCCTCCTATCACGCCTTCACTGTTACACTTTTTACCGTGCTTATTTCGATGTAGTGTGGTATGCTCCTTCGAGCGGCATTCATGAAAACCCTTCAGACTCCACGCTATCGTACTCACCCCATTCACCCTTATGCTAGGAAAGTTGACCAGAGTCTGCCATATTGTTACGTAGTCCTCCTTCCCTAGGTCCTATCAGAGTCTCCTTTTTACCTCGTAGAATCCTTCTGCTATCGCCCTGGTACACGTATTTCACTCGACCCCTGCCCCCTCAGCTGTGCTACTCGAGGCGTTATTCGCCCTCCCTTGCGTCTCTGAGTAAGTCTCATGGTCATGCCTTTGCAACATGGACCACGTCTCTTGTAAAACCTACTGTCAGCCACATATTTTACATTAAACGGCAGTATCTACGAGCAAATATTTGGACTAGCCATGGGATCTCCAATCGCAGCTCTTTTGGCAAATGTGGAAAAGTTTGAAAGGGAATTCGAGAAGTCACCACTGCAACCAAGAGTGCTAATGCGATACTTGGATGACTACTTTGCTATTTGGTCACATGGTAAGGAAAATTTA